ACGTGATTTCATAGAAAATATATCAGCTTCAAAGTTTTGTGTGAAGACACAAGATTCAAAGATAGCACAAGTTGGCTTCTTCTATGCAAAAAGAAGATCGGTTCTTCGGGAGAGGAGCTTAAATAGATCTCGAGAGAAGATCGATCCGCCGAATGAGGGATTCAGCGTTGAAGGGAGTTCAACCGTGCGGAGCAAAGGACGTGCTGCAAATTGAGGATTTATAATTCAGCGTAGTATACAAGAACAACGTCAACAAAGAGGGAGTTTTTGTATTTTGATTAAGTCTTACTATTGTATTCGTAAAACAAAAAGTTAGTAAATTTCATTTGCAGGTCCCCGTGGATGTAGGGTACAATTGTATCCGAACCACATTAAATTTGTCTCTCGTTTATTTCTGTTTTTACAAACTGTTTCACGAACTGTTGCAACACTTCATGCAACAGTAAAGAAAATCTTAATCTGACACAAATAATTAATATTTGCACGAAATAAATTCTATCATAAGGATGCATTCATAATATCTTTAAATTATTCCAAAGTTATCGTTAGTTACATATTTGTATCTACAAATCTTATATATAAAAGTAAAAAACGCTAGGGCAACCTAAGAAACCCTAATGACATATTTGTAATTTTTTTAATATTAATTATTAGTATTTTTCATCTCCTACTTTCTAGCTTTTTTTCTCTAATGACCTTCATAGCAAATCGGATTTGCAAATCCGCTAATAAAATTCTAATCCGTTCGGATGGTATATTTTTTTTTACTCGTTGTCTCTCTCTCTTATACACACCTATGTGAATTTATTTAATACAATTTAATTATCATATATTTAAATTTTCTTCCTTTTTGCAATCCCGTGCATCGCACGAGAAGAATTGCTAGTTATATATGATTTACAAGTTCCAATCTTAATTATCGTTCCATAAATTACATTCGAGGCATATAAATTTATCTTAGTATGTAATTAACCTCTATAAAAAATATTAGGACACCACTAAAAGTGAAAAAGAGATATAAAAAACGTCCTCGAAACTTTTAAATATTTACAGAAACAGCCCCAAAAAGTTTCCGCAGGTGTCATGGAATTTCGATTTTCAAAACGTGTTTGGGTTGAAGTTTCGGTGCATCGTAGGCAATATTGTAAATATCGGTCGTGGTGGTCGATATATCGACCGCCATATCGGTGGCGGTCGTGAACCTTTACAATATCGGTGAGGCGGTTTGAAAAATCAAAAACTTTTTGGACAGTGAGACAGTTTGCGGTGGTTTGCGGTGGTTTGCGGCGGTTTGTGGCGATTTGAGGGGGTCAATAAATCGGAAAAAAATATCTGTAGTTTTTTTCTTAGTTAGAAGGAAACTAGGATTTTTTTTCCCCCAAAATTTGAATCCAATTTCTTTTAACCAAAACCAAAACAATCCAAATCACCACCCCAGTAAGACAGAATAACATGACCAAAATTTACTAATCCAAAACAAGCCACACTTGTCCGACGGCTGCTACACACTGAGAGGGCGAGAGGGCGAGAGGTGGCAGGCGGCGGTGGGGATATAATCATGTTTTACTATTTTTTAATATATATTTTAAGTATTTACAAATAATATTTAAAATATATTACACTAAATCTAAAAATCGATTTATTTCCGATTAATCACCACCGCGCCAATTTATCGTGTGGCGGTCCCTAACCGCCTCGGACCCGATAACCGTTTTTTAGAACCTTGATCATAGGTGTGTCAACAGTTAATACAGTAGAATCCCGATAAATTAATCATAGGTGTGTCAACAGTTAATACAGTGAATCCCGATAAATTAATAACCTCGTTTAAATAATATGTTTTCCCGGTCCCGACTCGAAGGCAACGTGCTAAAAAATATTTCCTTAAATTAATATTTCGCTAAATTAATATTTCGCTAAATTAATAGAAATCGGTTGGTCCTAACTCTATTAATTTATAGAGGTTTAACTGTATAAACTCGGATATTCTTGAGAATATTTTTACTCTCCTGTTTATATATCAAATATCTTCATCCATGGTATCACCAATTGTACATCAACTAAGCAAAACAAAAAATTATCCATTCTCCACAACTCTCTGTTTTAACTTTCTTCATTTTGGGAGACAGCTTGAAATGCCTTGTAAATAAATAGTTACAAAATGACATCAAAAAATCGTCTCTCGAGTTTTACACATTGCAACTCAGATAATTATGCAGCCCTGCGTTTTGTTTCGACTTTGGTCAACCTAATGTTTCGGAAAAGTCAACACGCATCTCCCCTCCTACAATATCAAATATTTCGTCCACCCTGTTAAAGGAAAATACATGTAAGAAAAATTTAAAGTAATCAAATCAGGACATAAACGAATCGATGCATGAAGTGGTCGTAAAAACAACGCTCTTTACGAATCTGAGTGTTGTTTATCGCTCTTATGAAGGAAATACCTGCATCTGTCTATATTCACCTCCACCAGCCAAGTTGTTATGTAAACCTGTAGATCAGAAAATAATATAAATTAATTAAGAAGGATGTTCTTATTTACTATGTCATGAATGCATTTATTTATGGGTAAATTACGGCCACCCCCTGAGATAAGGTCTAATTACGAAAAAAACCCTCATTTTGGGTAATTACAACCACCCTCTCAACTATGAATCTTCTTACACGTCCACCCTTATGGTGTCGAATTCAACATTATCTTATAGATTCCCTCGAATGTTCTCTCTCCAGTTCGTACTCGTTTTGTGCAAAATTGCGTTTTCTGATACACCAGAATCTGATATTTACAAGCCAAGAGACACATGGTCATCTTGTTTAAAAATGTGGAGCTTGAATGGAGTAAAACGGGTACAAACTGGAGAATATTCCACGTAATCTAGAAGATTCTACTAAATTTGACGCCACAAGGGTGGACGTGTAAGAAGATTCATAGTTGAGGTGATTGTAATTACCCAAACGTGAGGGGGGTTTTTGTAATTTGATGCCTTAATTTACCCTTTATTTATTAGCTTATCATAATTACAGAACATGTTAATATCAAATTACGGTACATTAATTCACTAATCACATGTTAATAACCACACAAGAGAGGTTTTACTTTTTCTTTTTTTTTTTGGCCTATACTTCTCCCAATGCACAACTTCAATTAAATTCCGATACCTGTAAAACATTGCTATCCTGCAGTTGTTTAGACTGGACAGTTGAAGTACTAGTTTTGCAACCTTTAAGGCACGGAAATACTGGTTCCCGATTTTCGTTCGAGTACAAATTCAATAGACTCAGATCGATAAATTCTCCATCGTAGAATTCATCCGACCAGTGCAAAACAGCGACTTCTGCAACTTTTTCATCGTAGACAGAGAGTAGTTCCATCACAAGCAACCGCTGCATTACGGTGTTTGAGATGACAAAAGGTAAGCAAACTACGAAGCAAACAATTGTTCAATGTAAACAAGCAGATCCGAATTTCACCTTTAGATTCAATTCCGATATAAACATACGAACAATCTCCCAAGCTAGTTCTTCTGTAATCATTTTAAATAACTACGATTATGATAATGAAAATAAAATCAATGATTATAATATTAAAGAGTAAGAGAACATACCGAAAGACGTAATTGAAAAGAATGTAAAAACAGGGATTCCGCCGCAGCTGCCATTGTCGGAGTCGTCTTCCGAGGAGAGAGAAAATTGAGCTAATGGACTATTACTCGTCCCTCTAAAATAACACCTCATTGATTTACATGTATTAACCATTTGCGTCACAACTGCTACCTGCAAATGAGTTTCCTCTAATATATAAATGCATTTTCTACTCGTAAACAAGAAAACATCCAAGTATAACAAAATGCGTCGCTCGTGCAGATAAAATTAGAAGTTATCTAACAAACATACGCTTACGTACTCAATCAAGCAATACTAATACATGGAAAACATTCTCTTGGATCATTTACCGTTTCTTGGAAAAAGGTTATACTTTAGAAACAACATAACAAATGTGATTTTTTTTCCCCTTCAAAATTGATTCACGATCCAAAAAAGAAGCATATTTTGATTATATTTTTTTTTAAATACGTAACTATACGAATAAGGGAATCAGATCACACTGTCTTTACCAGAAAGAGGACGAAAGTTGAGTATATTTACCATATCTCTGTAACACGACAAAAACTGCGCTCTATGAAGCTCCTGAAAAGAAAAAAAAAATATGTCACATTTGCAAGCATATACATTCAAAATAGACAACAGAGACAACCCGTACATTTTTTTGCTTTAGACTAGAGTCGCCTCTCAAATAAACAATCTTAAAAATAATTTACATCACAAATATTGCATAAATGGAGAAATTCTTCTGACATTTGTAAATAACATTACCTCTTCAGTGATAGTATAAAGTTAAGAAACTAATACTCGTAGATGTGTTCTATTTAGCAATTCGAAATGAAACCGTTTCTATATATATATATATATACACACACACACACACACACACACACACACACACACGCATACGTTTTCACTGTCAAAACTTGGGGATATATAATCGTTTAACGAAATTAGAGTGATATAGCATCCAGTGAATCAAAGAAAACGAAAAATGCAAAACCTGCTGCTTGAACAATTTGGAGCAAGCTTTTTTTCGAATATTAGGCATGTCACTCAACACACCAAAGTCCATTCCATCCATATACCTGTGAAGATTCATAAAACAGAACCTCATTCATCGACTAACAAGAAACTTACGGCATTCATAAAAAGTAAAATGAAATGTTCAGCTTTAATGCTGTTTGGCAAGATTAATTATGAAAATACGTAACCCTTTGTAATGAGTAATAGTACATGCACAGTCTCGTGTAAGTATGTGTGTGTGATTCAGATATACGAATTAGCTTTTACTAGGTGGTGTGGTGAGGGTGAGGCTGTGGGTACTTTTGTGAGAGGTAGGAGTTGACGATGTTGGTGGCGTGAGAACGGGCGGCAGAAGCAGCGGACCGCCAGTCGTGGCGTAGACGATTGAGCTTCGACCATTGGTTCCGAACGTTCCGTTGAGCATTTGGTCTCCACAGCCTCACCGCAGAGGAAGAAGATGGCGGTGTGGAATTTTGGCGTTGAGCAGCCAAACTGCAAAAATAAACATCACTAATCAATTTTCTCTTCCATTCTAATTTTCCACTGAAAAATAAAATAAAAATAAGTTTACAAGGGTGAGCTATTGTTCAACTCCGAGGACATTTTCGGGAATTAGTTTGATTAGCAAAAGATTGCAAATTTCCCTACCGTCAATTCATCAAATCACCATCTAATAAACCAAATCCGTCAATTCTGAATCCCACGAACATAATTCAACCAATCAAATCAACAAAAAGACACAGTAATCGCACACATGAACAAGAAAATGAAAACCAGAAAACGAAACGCTGGTGAACAACTGGAGCTGGAGCAATCATACCGTCCTTCATTGAAATCGGAACTGCCGTTAAATTGTTGTTGTGGATACGCATCCTTTGAGTAACCTATACATTAAAATCCACCAATAAAAAGATATTAAATCTGATCCGAACAAAAATTAAGAATGAAAAGGGAAACAAGAATTGACACTGAAAGACTTGCCTTGAGGGTGAAGTGCACCAACAGGAGGTTGATTCTGATTGTAATAACTCATTATCTTTTACAACTTCTCTTCTTTGACTCTTCTTAATAATACACGACAAGTGAGTACATGCAACTGCCGAAAAAAATCTCGATAAAATGATTTTTTGGGTCTTATTTATATCAAAAAGAAATCTCGTAAAACAATTGTACTGCCGAAAAAATAAAATAGATACATAAAGCTAACAACACGAAACTAACATGTTACGAGAACCATCTTCACTTATTTTTTCGTTCGTGTCTAAGAAAGATTATTTTTGCCACATAACAAGTAATGATTTAAGATTCGACGAGAACATATCAAATGAGATATTTTAATATGCTAGAAGCTGAATTAACCACATAGCATGAGAACTGTAAAATAAAATGTTATATCAGCAATGAAGAAGAAGATTAATTGATAGATCAAGCTACACTTATAAATATTGCACTGCAAATAACCAAAGTTTTATTGCATAACATGAAATTGATAATAGCTGCAATCAATCATTATCAAGTCTGTCACTTTAATGAAAAATTACAGTAACCAACCAGCCAGCTTAAAAATCGAATACTTAAAATTGACCGAACTAAGAGATGTCAGATGTTTTACTTAGAGCGTACATAATTTTTCTTATCGGAACGCCGCCGTAGCGGCCGGAACGGGGTTGGTGGAGCCGGAACGGAGGCCACCGCGACAAAGTTCCGGCATGTAGCGGCTCACACCCACCGTGGCAGCGGTTAATCGGACTAGAATGGGGACGAACGGCTTCCGGCGGTGTTCGTGGTGTAACTGTGTTCTTCGCGGCGGCGGCGGAAATGAATTAGAGCTGGTGGCGCCGCCGACAATTTTATATTAGTTCTGATTTGGGCATGGGTCGATTGCAAGAATACAAATCTTATTAGGGTCACTTTAGTTTTCAAATGTTTCAACTTGGTCCCTACATTTTATGATTTTTATTAAAATAAAGAGATATATTCAGAACTTACACTTTAACCCCTAAAATTGAAATGTTCTGCATTTTTTCACCTTTTTGCAAATTCAAAGGTTTTTAAGGGGATTGTTGTAACATTGGATGATTGATATAGCATTATTTTTAATTGTAATATTATTTTGTAAATTATTATATTACAATTTCAATATTAGAAACTT